CAGGAGACCCTGGTTCAGTTCCTGGATCCGCTGGAGAAGGGACAGGCCACCCACTCCAGTGGTTTTGGGCTTCCCTTGTGGCTCAGATGGTAAAGAGTCCACCTGCGATGTGGGAGACCTGGTTTTGATCCCTGGGTTGGGAAGATTCCCTGGAGAAGGGAAAGGCTACCCACTCCAATGTTTTTTTTTTCCAATTTATTTATTTATTTTAATTGGAGGCTAATTACAATATTGTAGTGGTTTTTGCCATACACTGACATGAATCAGCCATGGGTGTACATGTGTCCCCCATCCTGAACCCCCCTGCCACCTCCCTCCCCACCCCATCCCTCAGGGTTGTCCCAGCGCACCAGTCCTGAGCGTCCTGTTTCATGCATCAAACCTGGACTGGCGATCTGTTTCACATATGGTAATATACATGTTTCAGTGCTGTTCTCTCAAATCACCCCACCCTCGCCTTCTCCCACAGAGTCCAAAAGTCTGTTCTTTATCTCTGTGTCTCTTTTGCTTTCTTGAATATAGGGTCATCTTTACCATCTTTCTAAATTCCATATATATGTGTTAATATACTGTATTGGTGTTTTTCTTTCTGACTTACTTCACTCTGCATAATAGGCTCCAGTTTCATCCGCCTCATTAGAACTGATACATTCTTTTTAATAGCTGAGCAATATTCCATTGTGTATATGTACCACAGCTTTCTTATCTATTTGTCTGCCGATGGACATCTAGGTTGCTTCTATGTCCTAGTGATTGTAAACAGTGCTGCGATGAACATTGGGGTACATGTGTCTCTTTCAGTTCTGGTTTCCTCAGTGTGTATGCCCAGAAGTGGGATTGCTGGATCGTATGGCAGTTCTATTTCCAGTTTTTTAAGGAATCTCCACACTGTTCTCCATAGTGGCTGTACTAGTTTGCATTGCCACCAACAGTGTAAGAGGGTCCCTTTTCTCTGCACCCTCTCCAGCATTTATTGTTTGTAGATTTTTTGATAGCAGCCATTCTGACTGGCATGAGATGGTACCTCATTGTGGTTTTGATTTGCATTTCTCTGATAATGAGTGATGTTGAGCATCTTTTCATGTGTTTGTTAGCCATCTGTATGTCTTCTTTGGAGAAATGTCTGTTTAGTTCTTTGGCCCATTTTTTGATTGGGTCATTTATTTTTCTGGTATTGACCTGCATGAGCTGCTTATTTTCTCCCTTTCTGAAGGCTGTCTTTTCACCTTGCTTATAGTTTCCTTTGTTGTGCAAAAGCTTTTAAGTTTAATTAGGTCCCATTTGTTTATTTTTGCTTTTATTTGCTGGGAGGTGGGTCATAGAGGATCCTGCTATGATTTATGTCAGAGAGTGTTTTGCCTATGTTTTCCTCTAGGCCACTCCAGTATTCTCGCTTGGAGAATTCCACTGGACTCAACTGAGCAACTTTCACTTTCCTTTAGGGTTAACTGGTTTGATCTCCTGGCTGTTGAAGGGAGTCCTAAGAGTTTACTCTCTTATCAGCTCTCAAATATGCACACAGCATTGTTAACTAGTCCTCATGCTGTACTGTACATCCCCACAATTTATAACCAGAAATTTGTACTGTGGACTCCCTGTACCATTTTGCCCACCCTCTACTCCCTGCCCTGGCAAACACTGGTCAGTTCTCTGTATCTATGATTGTGTTGTCTTTTGTTTAGATTTCACATATAAGTGAGATCACACAGTGTTTATTTTCCTCTCTCTGACTTACTTCACTTAGCATAATGCCTTCAAGTTCTATCCATGTTGTTGCAAATGGCAAGATTTCATTCTTTATCATGGCTGAACGATATTCCATTGTATATATACCAAGTCTTCTCTGTCCATTCATCCATTTGTTGTTTCCATATCTTGGCTGTTGTAAATAATGCTGCAGTGATCATATGTCTTTAAAGGTGGTGTTTTGTTTGCATTGGATAAATACCCAGCAGTGGAATTGCTCTATTATATAGTAGTTCTATTGTTACTTTTTTGAGGAATCTCTGTATTATTTTCCACAGTGTCTGCACCAATTTACACTCCCACCAAGAGTACATGAAGGTTCTCTTTTCTCTGTGTCCTCAGCAATACTTACTTCTTGTCTTTATGATGACCGCTTTTCTCCTTTCAGATGTGACATCTCATTGTGGTTTTAATTTGCATTTCTGTAATAATTAGTGATGGTGAACATCTGTCCATGTGCCTGTTGGACATCTATATGCCTTCTTTGGAAAAATGTCTGTTTAGGTCTTGTGCCCATTTTTAAATCATATTTTTATTTTCTGGTATTGAGTTATTCTTTGTGTATTTTGTGTATTATCCCCTTGCAAATATTTTCTCCTGTTCAGTGGGCTGCCTTTTCATTTTGCTGATGGTTTCTCAAGGCTCTTTTAATAATTAGTTCCCCTGCCTCTTTTCCCTTTTGGAATGAAACCTGTTGAGTTTCTCTCTATATGCACTTCCATGAATGATCTTATTTAACTACTATTCCTGTGCTAATAATGTAAAAGTCTCCCTCTCAGCCAGGATCCCTCCTGGGCTCCAGACTGTCTTCCACTCTGTGCCCTGAGGGATCTAAACTCCACGAGACTGGGTCACTTCTTCCTGTAACATCCTGCTGCCTTCAGGGTCAGACCCTCCACAGAGGGCTCCAGCCACACCAGTTCTCCTGGGTGGCACCTCCTAAGTGACGTGGTCCCGAGTCTAGGCTCTGACCTCTGCCCAGAGGCCCTTCCTCCCCTCCATCTGGACCAGTCCACCCGGGCTCCACTTTGCCAGGAAGTCGCCTGTGCTGCCATGGCTGGGTTAACTGTTTCTTTGTACATTTATCCTGGAGAGGGTGGGTCCTTGGATGACCGATGACTGTATTATTTCATCTGTATTCCTACTGCCTGAAACATCCCTGGCACTCAGGTGTTTGTTGAATGTGAGTGGAGATATTATAATAAATTCCTTGTCCTTCTAATGCTAAGTTGTGAATGACAGGAAGCTGAGGGGTCCAGAGTCAGACCCACCCTCTCACCATCTGCTGTGCAGGCACTGGGTGGGCTTTCTGGAGCAAGAGGGGAGGACAGATGTAGCCCTTACCTTTCCCTCCCAGGGGAAGGTAAGGAAAAGGTGCAGTTCTGTCTGAGAGGCCCCAAGTGTTACAGGAATATGGGGAAAGTGAAGGTTAACTTTGACTAAGGCAATCTGAAAACTCTTAAGATACTGACTTGCATTGGACCTTAAGGTCCAATGAGATTGGACCTTATGAGATTGGTTTTGGGGAGAGTTCACCTTGAGCAAAAGCTCAGCTGCAGCCCCCACCAGGTGTCCCACTGTGGAGCCAGGGAGCCTGCCCAAGCTCGGGTAGGTAGGCGGCAGCAGCAGGTTGTGGAGGCCTTTGAAGGCGAAGCTGAGGAGCTGGGGTTCTTCCTGACATGACCCCCACCCCTGCCTGCAGGGGTTCGGGGAGGCTGTGCCCTCACTGAAGGAGGGGAATCAGGCGGTTCGGGGGTGGAGGGCTGGAAAGGTAAAGCTCTTGCAAAGACAGGACTGACCGTAAGTGATGAAAATCCCGTAACATATTGTCAGCCCTGTGTGTGCACGCTGGACAGACTCGGTGTGGATCTGAGGTCCTGGGGCAGACAGGGGTGCTGGCTGACTGGCTCTGCCGCCCTCCTCCTGTTCATCTCGACAGATTTCTGCTGCCACCCCCCACAGCAATGAGAAGGGAATTGAGGGGGGTCCACACCTGAGTTGGCTCTCCCTCTCCATTGTGACACCTGTCTTGGTCACCTGACCTTTCCTGACCTTATCCCCACATCCACGTGGTGGCCAACGACTCTGACACGTCCCTCTGGGCACTGGGGTGCTTGGGGGCAGGCGCGTGGTCCCTGAGTTTAAGCACCCCCTCCTTCCTTGGGGCCACAGATCACCCCACACAGACCATCCTAGTTCTTTCCTGCTGTGTAGGTGGCTTGTACGCAGCGTTATCAGGTGGACTTGCTGCCAAAATGCCATTACTGGGTCTTCTTGCTCAGTCATCTGCTCAATCAGTGTCTAAAGATGCTGGACCCAAAGGAGGAAGCGAGCCATGGGCCTTCCTTCAAGTCAGGGGCCATGGCTGCCCCCAGGCCATGGGCAGTTAGCCTGGCTGACACGGTCTCCTTCCTCCAACGCTGACAGCCGGTCAGGTTCTGCCTCCTCACCCTGTCACCCATCACGTGCCTTCCCGCATCTGTGCTTCTGTAACTGGTTGTGTGAAGGTCCTTCTTAGTTGGACACTTATTAATTCAGCTGCTGCCCAGCAGTCCCAGGCAGTGCAGGCCAGGGAAGACCAGTCCACAGAGGTCCCCTTGGGCTGATCTCCTTTGGTTTATTTCTGTCCTGTGCTCCCGTGGGACTAGCATTATAGGGCCTTCCCAGGCGTGACCGGCATAGTGCGTCCCCCATGAGGTCAGCGGTCACAGCTGTGACTCTTGAGACTTCAGGGTCACAAGGGCTCGGCTTTAGAAGGCAGATGAACATCGATGAGAGTCTGGGGTCATGGTAACCTTGTGACGTGGGGGACGTTAGGGAGGAGTGCTGGCCCCCACCAGTGTGACCTCCTGGTTTCAGGGAGGTGGGGTCAGAGTCCGCCCACGGCTGCAGGCCCATTGTGGGCGCTGACGCTTGGATTTTGGCGTCTGACCAGAAAGTAGGGTGACTTGGAAGAACACGGAGTGGTCAGGTTTAGGGTCTCCTTCACTTTCCAGGTCCCGGCCTGCCCTCCCCCCTCCCCGTGTCAGCCCCTTCGCGCAGACAGGGGGGTGCGTGGACCTTGATGGACAGAGGGAAATGGGTCTGGGCCTCCTGAACGGGTCTGGCGGCTCGGAGCGGGAGGCCACAGGACCCTTGGAGGAGCTGAAGGCTCCGGGCTGAGAAGGGGCATCTCCCTTTTCGGGGTGTGCAGTAGACTCTGGGCGCGGTTCAGGGAGTGTGGCCCGGGCCCCAGCGCCGCCCTCTCCCCGCAGGATCTCCTACGACCCCGGCCGCTTCCCGCGGTACCTGCCCGAGGCCTACTGCCTGTGCCGGGGCTGCCTGACCGGGCCACGCGGGGAGGAGGACGTGCGCCTGCGCAGCGCACCAGTGCTCGTGCCCGCGGTGGTCCTGCGCCGGACCCCAGGCTGCGCGGGTGGTCGCGCCGTCTACATCGAGGAGTACGTCACCGTGCCGGTGGGCTGCACCTGTGTGCCCGGGCCGGAGAAGGATGCGGACGCCGCCAACTCCAGCCTGGACAAATCGGCCCGGCCCTGACCGCCCACCCGGGACCCCGGGCCCGAGGAAACGTGCCCAGCCGTGGACTGGACCAGACCAGACTGGACCTCATGGTGGGCTGCCCCGGAATTCCTCTTGAGCAGGCGCGCAGGGCGGCCGGTAGGTGATGGGGACTGAGCGGGGTGGCCCGCCTCGCCCCCAGGACCAAGGGAGGGGCGAGTCTCAGAGGACAGACGGATGTTTGCAGTCTTTTTTTAAAAAGTAGAGTAAACCGTTTATTCAGCTACTTTTTCAATAGGGGCAGGAACAAAATATTTTCATACTAGCCGTTTTGAACAAGTATATTGTTTTTACCTGATCTGTAAACATTTTATAAACATTGTTTTCACTTGCTCAGCAGGAATTTTTAGCTCAGGTAGGCTGACTCTTGCTTCGGTTGGTCACCAGTGGACACGGCTGGACAGAACCTGCCCTCCCAATGGGCAGCTCAGCTCACCCCAGTCTCACTTTTTTCATGAGGATATAAATCGCCACAGGTTTATACAGGGAGAAAGCTTTTTACTTTTCAAAGTCAGGGGCCAGTTTATGGACAAGAGGCAGTGAGGTCAGCGTGTGGCATTCGAGATCTGTGTCAATTCCCAGCTATCTGGCTAGTTTTAAGGGCTTCAGGAGCTATTAAGTGCGCAGACTTAACAGTTTCCAGAACGCCAAGAGTGGAGCCTCTTCTAGCACTGCAGCTAAAGCCCAGAACTATTTGTAAACGTGAGACTCGATTTATGTAACACCTGTAGGCAGGTGAAGGGCATGCTGGCTGTGGTTTTCTCTCTGGACTCGGCTTTGATAGGCTCAACTAGTTCTTAGAGGAAACGATGTTTACTAAGGTCTTATCTTAATTTTATGGTTGAAGTTTTTAAGAGCAACTGTGAATCAGTCTCTCTGTTTATGTGCTCTCTTGCCCACTTAAAATTAGCCTTGGTTTGATCTGAATGGAAGCCTTACTGAGAACTTCCAGTTTGTATTATATATTGACAGAGGTTGTACATGAAAAACATTGCTGAGCAAAATTCATATTTTCCAAATAAAAATTCAGAACTGAAACTGATAGCTGTGGGTAGTTCTATACAGCTTGGGGCAAATGTTACTTCCCTGCTCAACCTCTGGAAATAACAACGTAAAGTAAGACTAGTGGTGGTATATCTGGAATACACCACTAGATATACTGGTATATCTGAACCTTTCAGAAGGGTTCAGGTCAACAACAAAGAAATACACAAAAAGAAAAACTGCCTTTCAAACCTTGGGTAATTATTTCAATCATCGCCACTATTGTGTAACATTTTCCAGCCACTGTGCAAATATAAATAGTGCAAACATCAGAGCACTGGACAAAGAGTAAATGGATTGCATGTGGAAAATACTGCAGTTCCATTAACCATGTTCATCAGTTTAGCTCACCTTAGCTGTTAAAGGCAGCACATTCCCAATGGAAGAACTGACTTTCCTTGCCAAGATCCAGAAAGGTAACCTTTATTTGCACTTTTTCTCTGAATGGAATTCATTTAACAAATATTTACTGAGCACGTGCCCTCCCTCTTCTGAACACAAACTGTGTCCTCAACTACAAATCCCTTGGCTGTTAGAGCCAGGGGCTGAGGTCTTGGCTGGTCACTACGTACTGCTCTCTACCTGTGTTAAGTGAGGAGAGCAGACTAGATGGAGTCTAAAAGTTCTTCCAGATATAATGCCACAGACTCAAGTCAGCAAAAGCACCCTGAGCTCCAGGGACATCCTAAGGAAATCATGATGTCTTCATCTTGAAAATGAGGACTGGGGAGGTGGTAGTTTTTCAGAGGGGAAATGTCACTTGGGTCCTTCCTGCCCTGAGAGCTGCACTGACAGATCACGGTCCAGCCCAGAGTCGTAATTCACGAAACAGCGAAACTCGTTTCCCAGGGCACGAGTGTGTTCTGGAATAAACTTGCACATCTTCACTCCAAGCAGTTTTTCTGCCGCTTCCTCCATGACAGCACCTGAAGAGAACCACCAGACAAGCCTCAGCGCCACGCTGGCTGGGGCGAGGAGCGGTGAGCTGACAGTTCCACTCAGCAATAGGGGGAAGGTCACTGCTTTCTATCCTTTTACTTCCTCCAACATTTTTGCCAAGTTCCTACTTTTTTCTACCTCTACAAAGCTGATATACTTAGAAACTTTAAAAATTGCTTATATTCTACAAAGTAACAAAAGATAATTTTACTAAAAACTTTTCCAACTTGGACTCAGAGGCCCCTTTCTCAATAATATCTAATTGCGCAAACTCATACTGATACATTCGTACCAGCCTCTGGCTGATGAATGCACTTCTCCCTCCAGCCCGTCCTTAGGACCCACTGCACCATGGGGAGCAAGGGGCTTCAGGCCTGGAAGTAAGGGGACCTACAGTTCATGTTTTCATTTTGAAACACCAGGATAATTCCCCTCACCAATGAGAATGTCTTCTGTTCTGGTAAACCGAACCTAATGTCTCACTCTGTAACCTCTGACATCCAGTTTAACCCCAGAGGTTGCAAATTTCTTTTATCAGCTGGAGAGGCTGAGTCAGACATGTTACTAGAACTGACACTGCTGAGTACAGATAGCACTCCTGGTGCCCTCACCCCATGCCAAACCCCACTTCCGGGGCATTGTGCCACAGAATTCTCAACAGGCCCCGAGAGGCACCAGCACCTCAGCCCCAGGGTGCAGGGAGTTAAGTGGAATGAGGTCACAGAGTGTGTGGTCAGCCAGCACCCACCTGTGCACAGCATGATCTTGCCCCGGGTCAGGAGCTTGATGGTTTCCGACATTTTCCTAAGACATTCCTCCGAGAGATAGGGGGGATCTGCTACGACAATGTCAAAGCTGTGTGTGGCGATCCTCTCAGGTAAGTCCACAGGGCTCTTGTAGTCATAGTAGACAAAGTCCTCTCCGTATACGGCAAACCTGCGGTCGTACTCAAAGATGCAGACGGAGACATTGTCTCTGTGCCGCTCTCTCAGCTTCTGGTAGACGCTGGGGGCGCTCACACACGCTATTCTGGGACAGAGAGACCCAGCTCATGAACAAGCTTTGTGACAGCGTTATAGCAGCAAATAACCACTTCACTAAAAAAGTATGGCCTGCATTCAGATTTTCTTAAAACAACACTACAAACTAAAGTAATAACAGCAGTGAATTTTGGGAGGAATGTGGTGTTTACAGATCTACAACTCATAATTTTTAAGTATGAAATGTACTTTTTATAGTAAAAAATGTGAAACATTAGGTACAAGAGTTATGCAGGCCATGACCTGAATTTACCTATTATTTTCCTGTTGGTCTCTCTTAACATTTATTTCAAATACTTTTAAGCCTCAAACTAAATATTTTCAAGTTATTTTGTAATATTCATATATTTAATATATAAAGAAAAAGAAAGCCTTAGGACTTTCAGATAAAGATGCAGAGGGAACACATTCATTTAGATTTGCTTCTTCAAAGCAAATAAATCATGAGAAAGAAACCTCCAACAGCAAGACAATGAGGGAAGACAAAGGAAACACACTCAGGAAGCTAACAGGCAAGGGTGTGGGTTGGGTGGTTTCTGACTCTGCAGGCCCAAGGGAGCCAAGTCCCAAACTGGCAGCCAGGAAAGCTGAGAGGGGGCCTCGCCGACACCAAAGCACCTGCAGCTCAGGAAGCTGAAAACCAGGTAACTCAAGAAGTAGGGGTGAAGGGGCGGCAGGGGGACTGTCTTTGGAAGGTCTATCGAAGAGGAAACTTCCCAGGATTCTCATCTCTGTGCCAAGCCGCCACACTGGGAGAAAACCGGAAGGATGTTCTCCGGATGGGGGTGGGGGCACAGCTAGTGGTGAAGGGCTGTGTGGAATGGCAAGGATCACATTAAACCCACCAGACGTTGGGACCCCTGATCTATGTGCCTCCTGTAATGAGGTCAACGAGATGCATGACTCCCATTAAGGAAGGTCACTCTTTCTGGGGCTCTTTCCAGCCCACAAGAAAAAGCCTGGATATACTGACCGGGCATTCCTGGGAAAACAGCTGACCGCAGCAGCCAACTGCAAACACCAAAGAGAAAGCCTGCCCAACTATCAGAGCTTCCAGCCTTAGCATTCCCACCTCAACTAGAAGAACACAGCAGAGGGTCAGCAGACAACTCAGAAGAGTCAGCACGTACTAGAGCCAAAATATTAATAAAACACGAGAGGCATGCTGGAGTCAGAGACTGTGAAGAGAAGAAATCCTGTAATATGACATCCTCAGAAGGATGAACAAGATACCATGATAAATATCCAGAGACCTAAGAAATTACAGGTGATAAAGTACATGACAGCAGAAATGGCAAACTCGGTGGAAATTTTCAAAGATAAAGTTGAGGAATTTTCCCAGAAGGTCAGGTAAGACAAAATATGTGAAAAGGACAGAAAGAAAAATGAATCAGGTAAAGAAGAATAGAAAAAAAAAAGAATTTTTCCAAACTGGAAGACCCGAGTTATGAGACCAGAAAGGCTTCCACCCCATTCAACAGATGAAAACACCACACCAGGACACACAGAACACTGGGGATCAGGAGAAAACCCTAAGCCAGCAGGGGGCAGGGATGGGGAAAAACAGGTTTTGCATAAGAAATCAGAATGGCACTGTATTTCTCAATAACTAACACATCAAGAGAATGGGTAGAATAAAAATATTTTCAGACAGGTTTTAAAAATTTCCCTCTAGGTGTGGAGAAAAGGGAACCCTCTTACACTGTTGGTGGGAATGGAAATTAGTACAGCCACTATGGAAAACAGTGTGGAGATTTCTTAAAAAGCTGGAAATAGAACTGCCATATGACCCAGCAATCCCACTTCTGGGCATACACACCGAGGAAACCAGATCTGAAAGAGACACGTGTACCCCAATGTTCATCACAGCACTGTTTATAATAGCCAGGACATGGAAGCAACCTAGATGCCCATCAGCAGAAGAATGGATGAGGAAGCTGTGGTTCATATACACCATGGAATATTACTCAGCCATTAAAAAGAATTCATTTGAATCAGTTCTAATGAGATGGATGAAACTGGAGCCCATTATACAGAGCGAAGTAAGCCAGAAAGAAAAAGACCATTACAGTATACTAACACATATATATGGAATTTAGAAAGATGGTAACGATAACCCTATGTGCAAAACAGAAAAAGAGACTCCTATGTAAGAACAGACTTGTGGACTCTGGGAGAAGGCGAGGGTGGGATGTTTCAAGAGAACAGCACTGAAACACGTATATTATCTAGGGTGAAACAGATCACCAGCCCAGGTTGGGTGCATGAGACAAGTGCTCAGGCCTGGTGCACTGGGAAGACCCAGAGGGATTGGGTGGAGAGGGAGGTGGGAGGGGGGACCGGGATGGGGAATACATGTAAAAAAAAAAAAAAAAAGATACACTATGGTTGTGATAAAAAATAAATAAATAAGTAAATTTAAAAAAAATAAATAAATAAAAAAAATAAAAAATAAAAATTTCCCTCTAGTGAAAAGTGTTGAAGGATGTACCCAACCAGGATAAAGCTGTGAACTAAGGACTGGGATACTGGATACAGGAAGGTCAAAACCAGATAAAAGGACACTTGGTAGATGGTGGAGGGAAACACCAAGAACAGAACTGGACATCAACCAGTCCAGACAGAAGAGGTGGCAAAGTTGGGGGCAGGGAGTGGTATTTTTTCAAGGAGTTGAAATATGTGTGAGTTCGTTGATTAAGACTTTTATGCCACTGGGGAGAATTTGAGGATTAGTGATATGGACGTATAAACCCTATTTAACCAAGATAGGATATAACTAACACCAATTCTACACAATCACTTCCAGAAAACAAATACAGTAACACTTCCCAGGTCATTTTATGAAGCTACTAATATGAAACCCAAACCAAGGGAATAAAAGGAAATTTCAAAGTAATTATCACTCATGAAAGTTGCTGAGTCGTAGCCGACTCTTTGTGACCCCATGGACTTTTCCATGGGGATCTCCAAGCCAGAGTACTGGAGTGGGTAGCCTTTCCCTTCTCCAGGGGATCTTCCCAACTCAGGGATCAAACCCAGGTCACCTGCATTGCAGGCGGGTTCTTCATCAGCTGAGCCGCCAGGGAAGCATGTAGAAGCAAAAGCCTCAACAAAACATTACCAACAAGTCCAACTGTAAAAAAGATGGGCAGAACTACTGGGGGCGTAGACAGGAAGCACTGTGCAGTGGAGGATGAAGGAGCTAAATCCTTAGTCTCTTCAGGTAAGATGTCTGTGAGTGACAAATGAACAAGTGCCAACATAAACAGCCTTAGAGATGTAGAAGAGCTGAAAGGCAAGGGGGGGACAGGGGGAAAATTAACAATGGATTACTTTTTTCAACAAGTCTTTCAGGTCCATTTGACTTTATATGCACACAAAGTTTTGACAGAAATAAAAACCAAACTAACAAAACCTGTAATTCTTAAAATTTCAGAAAGATCAAACATTAAGATTTTTTTTCTTTTAAAGCAATTCTAGGGGAATAAAAATAACAGGTTAGAAAAATGTTAAAATAAGGAACAGATTAAGATGACATACACGGAACAGAGTTTTGAGTGTGCCCCTAGATGCCATAGGAAAGCATTCCTACTTCCTTGTGGTCTTCAAATCATCAACCACAGGTTTTGCAGATTACAGCTGAACCTTCTTACGAACCACCTCTCATCCAGGAAGAACATTTAAAGTATTACTTTAGATTAAAAGGCAAAAGAGAAGCAAACCTGGTATCTCACCTGCCGCCCTCCCCGGCAGCTGCTACGGCGTCCTCAGCAAGGCGCAGGGCTGTCTCTGGGCTGTACCAGAACTGGCTCAGCTGCTGTGACAGGAAACGAGTGAATTATATTAGACCTGGCATAAACTTGTCCTTTTAATTCATAGCTACTTACCAATATGAACTCAATCAACAGCCAGTGTCACTGCTGGGCCATGCAGTATATTCTGCGCTTCCTTCTGGTATGGCACCTCCTATTCTTCTAGAGTTAATAAACAAACCACTGTTGCATTTGCTTGGGTTCTCCGAAACTATCCCTAATTCTCTCAACTTCATCCTGTAGCTCCTGAAAAGCGGTGCATGGGAAGTCAATGTTGGGAGACTTACCTTGTCTGACGATACATTTAAGATTTTATCCTCACATTTTATTGGTAACTCATCTGGGCATAGAGTCCCAGACTGAATGAAATTTTCACTCTAAACACTGAAGGCAGTGCTTCACTTTTTTCCTAGTTTCTAATAAAGCTATTGAGAAGTGCAACGTGACCTGTCTTGAGACACTGAAAGTGACATGCTTTTCTCCAGAAGGTTCTAGGATCTTCTTAGTCACCTACATCCAGAAGTTTCACACATGCCTCCTGGACTTGCCCTCTAGTTTTATAATGTATTCTTTCAAACTTCCTGGGAGATTTCTTCATTTTTGTGAACAAACCAAAACAAGTGCCAAAAATATACAATTAGTTAATTCAGGTAGTGAAATTATGACTTGTTTTTTTTAATTCATGTTTTTACCTATCTTCTACACCAACCATAGATTACTTTCAGAATCAGAAAGAAAGTACACAATATTTAAATAAGCAAAAGGAAAAGACAAAAAGATTACCTTAAGGTGGACTTCAGGTTTCTAATATTTATTATTCAAAGCATCAAGCTAAAGACAAAAACGTGACGAAGGAAAACTAGAGGCATCTGAGTAGGTGGAACATTCAGAGTAAATATAAAGAAACATTTCTGTCACAGTTTCACAGAGATGATGAATTTTATATAAAATAATATAAACTTTATATAACTTAAAGAGATCCAAACTTGACACAAAATGTAAAAGACTGCACACACACACCTCCCAGATGCAAAGTGATGAAGAGAGGCAGATCGATGATCAAGGTAGTCAAAGAAATTTCAAGCCTCATCTATTTCTAACTATGCTTCAAAAAAGGTAGATTTCAACATTAGAGTTTAGGTTAGCTTTCCTCAACTCACTTTTTACAATTCCTATTTTTATTTGGCCCGTAGAAATACAATTAAAATACATACTGTGCACCAGGAACTATTAATATCTTCTTTTAAAATCACTTTCATCAATTTTTCACTACATGTTTAACACCAGTTGCCCCATTACTACAATGATCCCTTCCCACAAGGAATGCTGGGCTCCAGTAAAAACCGACAGAAGGAACCTGTCTACGAGAAAGCAGTACAGTCTGTGTTGGACACGGTGATATGCTCTTCCCCTATCTGAAACGTCCCCTCCTCTGACCACCAAGCAGCCCGGGTCAGAATGAGGAGAATCTGCACTCCCAGTGTCTTAGCTACTGAACAGGCTATCAGCTTCCTAGTGACAAGTGAGACAAACTGGGCTGTTAGGTGGGGTAAAGACCAACAGTGGACTAGCTACAGAACACGCTCCATACTGCCAAAACGTCCTGATGGATGCGGAGCTTGTTCACTCACCCAGTTCTCTTCTATTATCCCGATGTTATACTTGTGATCACCACGGAGGTCAGAGTGGTGCTGCTGCTGCTCAGCATAAAATTCCTGCAGAGCTGCGAGAGCGTAGGAAGAAAGCTGGGGGGGGCCCTCGTCTTCGGAGTCACTCATCTCACACCTGTGGGGAATGAGTCTAAGTGATGTGAGTGTGTTTTTCCTTTCCATCAAACAATTAAAAAAATTAACTCACAGCAGTGATCCAAACTGGAAGTGAGTTGTATAAGGAAAACAGGTATTTAAAATTTCTGAGACCAGGAACCTCCCAGGCGGTTCAGTGGCCAAGCCCACACTCCCAGTGCAAGGCCTGGTTCTATCCCTGGTCAGGGAACGAGACGCCACGTGCCATTAACAAAGGCCTGGCGCAGCCAAACACATGCATACATACGTCTGCAGAGGTCTTCCCCTGAACTACAGCTGAACAAATAAATGCATGCTTTCTCTCTCCATGTATACAGATTTTACAATAAAATTTTTCACATTTTTATGACTCCTTGCAGAATGAAATCTGTAAAGATGTTTTGCTTTCACCCCAGTGGTCACATGCAGATAATTCACAGTAGACTCTCTGAATCAGAGCTTTTTATGTGTGAATGTCATTGTCGAGATGACCTAAAGCTCCTAGCTGTTATGATGGGATAAGTGAAGGATTCGTAAAGGAGGGGTAGAGGAAGAGATAGGAAAATTAAAAGGGATGAGAGAGGATGCAAATTACCATCACAATGAGATATAACTATATACCTACCAGACTGACTACAATGGAAAAGACAGGTAATACCAAATGTTTGGGGGGGGGCGGTGGGGACAGTGTAGAATAATAGAAACTGCCTACTTTGCTGCTGAAATGTAACTGATGAAAACATTTTGGATAACAATATTACCTTACCTCTGCTTCAAACTCAGTAATTCGGTATCATATAACTATATGAAACTCCTGTGATTCACATAGATAGACATGGAGATACATTCAAAGTGGGAATGTGTACTGGCCACAACTAAAACTACTGAAATGTCCACTCACTGGACGTTACATAATATACTGCTGTATGTTCCTATAGTAGGATACTAGATCACAATGAAAACACTTCCTTTTCTCCTCGGCTGGCTTGCCACCTGTAACTGTTATGTAAGTAGTTACTTTAAGGATTATAGGTTTACAGGATATCATGGCACACATTCAAATAACATTACACCACTTCCTGTGTTATACAAAAACCTTACGATTTGTATATAACTTCCATTTCTCTCCTCCAAGCCTTTGTGTTACTATTGTCCAATGTCTTATTTTTATATTTGATATAAAATAAACACATCACAGGCAAATTTGGCCTTCAAGTAATGAAGCAGGGCAAAGGCTAACAGAGTTTTGCCAAGAGAATGCACTGGTCATAGCAAACACCCTCTTCCAACAACATAAGAGAAGACTCTACACACGGACATCACCAGATGGTCAATACCAAAATCAGACTGATTATATTCTTTGCAACCAAAGATGGAGAAGCTCTATACAGTCAGCAAAAACAAGACAGGGAGCTGACTGTGGCTCAGATCATAAACTCCTTATTGCCAAATTCAGACTTAAATTGAAGAAAGCAGGGAAAACCACTAGACCATTCAGGTATGACCTAAATCAAATCCCTTACGATTATACAGCGCAAGTGACAAACAGATTCACGGGATTAGATCTGATAGACAGTGAGTGCCTGAAGAACTATGGATGAAGGTTTGTGACATTGTACAGGAGGCAGTGATCAAGACCATCCCAAGGAAAAGAAATGTAAAAAGGCAAAATGGTTGTCTGAGGAGGCCTTACAAATAGCTGAGAAAAGAGAAGCGAAAGACAAAGGACAAAAGGAAAGATACACCCATTTGAATGCAGAGTTCCAAAGAATAGCAAGGGGAGATTAAAAAAAAGCCTTCCTCAGTGATCAATGCAAAGAAAAAGAGGAAAATAACAGAATGGGAAAGACTAGAGATGTCTTCAAGAAAATCAGAGATACCAAGGAAGTTTTCATGCAAAGATGGGCACAATAAAGGCCAGAAATGGTATGGACCTAACAGAAGCAGAAGATATTAAGAAGAGGTGGCAAGAATACACAGCAGAACTGTACAAAAAAGATCTTCACGACCCAGATAATCACGATGGTGTGATCACTCACCTAGAGCCAGACATCCTGGAATGTGAAGTCAAGTGGGCCTTAGGAAGCATCACTATGAACAAAGCTAGTGGAGGTGGTGGAATTCCAGCTGAGCTATTTCAAATCCTAAAAGATGATGCTGTGAAAGTGCTGCACTCAGAAAAGTGCCAGCACATTTGGAACTCAGCCGTGGCCACAGGACTGGAAAAGGTCAGTTTTCATTCCAATCCCAAAGAATGTTCAAACTACCACACAATTGCACTCATCTTACATGCTAGCAAAGGAATGCTCCAAATTCTCCAAGCCAGGCTTCAACAGTACATGAACCGTGAACTTCCAGATGTTCAAGCTGGATTTAGAAAAGGCAGAGGAACCAGAGGTCAAATTGCCAACATCCGTTGGATCACTGAAAAAGCAAGAGAGTTCTAGAAAAACATCTACTTCTGCTTTATTGACTATGCCAAAGTCTTTGACTGTGTGGATCACAACAAACTGTGGAAAATTCTTCAAGAGATGGGAATACCAGACCACCTGACCTGCCTCCTAAGAAATTTGTATGCAGGTCAAGAAGCAACATTTAGAACTGGACATGGAACAACAAAGTGTTTCCAAATGGGAAAAGAGTTCGTCAAGGCTGTGTACTGTCACCCCACCTATTTAACTTATATACAGAGTACATCATGAGAAACGCTGGGCTGGATGAAGCACAAGCTGGAATCAAGATTGCTAGGAGAAATATCAACAACCTCAGAGATGCAGATGACACCACCCTTATGGCAGAAAGTGAAGAACTAAAGAACCTCTTGATGAAAGTGAAAGAGGAGAGTGAAAAAGTTGGCTTAAAGCTCAATATTCAGAAAACTAAGATCACGGCATCTGGTCCCATCAGTTCATGGCAAATAGATGGGGAAACAGTGGAAACAGTGATAGACTTTATTTTGGGGGGCTCCAAAATCACTGCAGATGGTGACTGCAGTCATGAAATTAAAAGACACTTGTTCCTTGGAAGAAAAGTTATAACCAACCTAGACAGCATATTAAAAAGCAGAGACATTACTTTGCCAACAAAGGTCCATCTAGTCAAGGCTATGGTTTTTCCAATAGTCATGTCATACATGGATATGAGAGTTGGACTATAAAGAAAGCTGAGCACCAAAGAATTGATGCTTTTGAACTGTGGTGTTGGAGAAGACTCTTGAGAGTCCCTTGGACTGCAAGGAGATCCAACCAGTCCATCCTAAAGGAGATCCGTCCCCTGAATATCCATTGGAAGGACTGATGCTGAAACTCCAATACTTTGGCCACCTGATGCAAAGAAGTGACTCACTGGAAAAGACCCTGATGCTGGGAAAGATTGAAGGCGGGAGGAGAAGGGGACAACAGAGGATGAGATGGTTGGATGGCATCACCGACTCGAGTTTGAGTAAACTCCAGGAACTGGTGATGGACAGGGAGGCCTGGAGTGCTGCAGTCCATGGGGTTGCAGAGTCAGACACAACCGAGTGACTGAACTAAAACACACCACACTGTTAAAAAATCTTTTATATTTACCTACATAGTAACCACTTACATTGCACTTCATTTTGTATTGATTAATACTGCCATCACTTGTCATTCTCCTTCTGCTTGAACAAACGTTTCTTGTAACACAGTTCTCTGGAGCTCCTCCTCTGGTACTCACTCTGCCCTGCCTGCTTCCCATGAGGCTTCCCCCAAATCTATCAGTATTTCCTTGACTCAGAGTGGTCCTTGGGTTCCCTTCCCTGCATAGCAGCCTAAAAACTCTCTCAGGCAGTAAGCTGGAACAACCATCAGGCACAGTCTGTTCATTTCCCTTTTTCAGGGTCCACTGACCTTTGTGGCCTGGTTCCTGTTATCTTCAAAGGCATTTTCCCCCACATATTTTACCTGTTTTTCTTTTTTTTTCAGTTTTATCAGATGGGAGGGGAAATTTAGTCCTTGTTACTCCTAGTGGAAGTTCACCACAGGAAAAAAAAAAAACCTACAGCCATATATCCTAACAAGAATCAACCTTAAGAATATGTTAAATCACAGAGTTACAGAATACATATAGTATCAATAATTCTATTTCAGTGAAGTTCAGAAACATGGAGATAAAAGCAAGTTAATGAAAAACTAAAGATTAAAGATAGTGGTTATCACTGGGAGTGAGGAATACATAATTTTTAAAATGTTTATTATATTATCTGCAAAGACCCATGGACTTGATTCTGTAACCAAAAAGTGTCTGAAATGGCTTCTAAACACTTTGATCCTTCCCCAAGTAAAAATCTTTTTCAAAGAACTTAGAATAAGTCCCATGACTTATCTATTTTTCTACCTGCATTTTTCACACTGTACAATGATTTCCATTAAGGTATGAATTCAACATAGGAAAATATAAGCTTTTTTAAAAACAGAAAAAAATGTATCCAAGTACATGTATGGCTTATAGTAGAAGCCAGTAGTGCTCTGTTAAATGTTTTAACAAAAAAATACACGTGAGTATAGGGTCGTGCATCACGACAAACTTCCTATTGCAGGCTGTAGTCTTAAATGTTTGGAGTTTTTCACTGTAAACGATCTATAATTTTTGCACAGACTCATCTCAAGACGGAGACGTTCTAATACTTTATACAAACAGCTCTTATCTGAAGCAGATACTTGGTATTTTTTACACTGATTGTGAAAAAACATTTCTACTATTATTTAGACATTCAGAAAAACAATAATACTGGATTAAGAGCAAGAACTGCAGCCGAACTACCTAAGCGTAAATCATGGCTTTGCCACTTCCTAACTACATAGCTTTAAGCAAGTGTTTAACTCTTCTATGCCTTAATTTTCTCATCTATGAAATGGAGATAATGTTAAAACTTACTTAATACAGTTGTTCTGAATTAGATGAGTTTCTAGTGACAAACCACCTAATCGGCCTTGGCACACAACAGGAACAAAAACAATTACCTTCAGTAC